AATATATACAGACTATACATATGAACCTTTATTTACTAAGGTATACAGACTATACATACGGACCTTTTTTTAGTAATGTATACAGACCTTTATTTAGTAATGTATACAGACTATACATACGGACCTTTATTTGGTAAGGTATACATACTATACATATGGAGCGTTATTTAGTAAAGTATACAGACTATACATACGGACCTTTTTTTAGTAAGGTATGCAGACCATACATATGGACCTTTATTTAGTAAGGTATGCAGACCATACATATGGACCTTTATTTAGTAAGGTACTCAGACTATACATATGGACCTTTTTTTAGTAATTTATACCGACTATACATATGTAACTTTATTTAGTAAGGTATACAGGCTATATACAGTATATGCAGGGCTGAAACTAGGGGGGCACGGGGGAAGGACGACTGCCCGCTGCAGACTGACACATGGGCGGAACTACCAGGGTCATATCAACCAGACTCTGGTGTTACGCCACTTCCTGCCGCTCAGGCCGCAGCAGAGAAGAAGGGAGCCCACTCCCCTCATGCGGCCGCCACCGGAACAGCCAGCAGCAGCACCGAGAGCAGAGGGAGGGAAGTAGGAGCTAGAGGCGGAGGAAGGTTAAGGACTGGGGCGCAGGAAGCTTGTGGATGCTCCCCCACCGAAGGTGAGCCCCTGGAATGCACAGTAACCTGGGCCTGCCTCAAATTGGTGAATGCAGAGAAAAAATATTTTCATTATAGGAATAAATATTGATAAGCTAAGAATTGTATTGATTTTTTTTTTATTTCAGGTTCTAGGTGCCCAATGTTGTATAGAAGTATTGTAATAGAACGGTACTGTGTTCTTTACTACCACGCTCTCCATTCTATATTACCGTGCTCTGCAGTCTTTAGTACCATGCTCTGCGTTCTTTATTAGCTTGCTCTGCCTTCTTTATTAACGTGCTCTGGGTTCATTATTACCATGCTCTGCATTCTTTATTACCGTGCTCTTTGTTCTTTAGTACCGTACTCTGCGTTCTTTACTATAGTTCTCTGCATTCTTTAGTACCTTGCTTTGGTTTTTGTTTTTTACTACCATGTGCTTCGTCTTTACTACTGCACATTGCGTTCTTTACTACAGTACAGTACAGTTCTTTCCTAACCATGCTCTGCCTTCTTTACTACCGCGCTCTGTGTTCCTTAATACCGTGTTTTGCATTCTTTACTACCATGCGCTGCGTCCTTTACTACTGAACAGTGCACTCTTTACTACTGAGCTCTACGTTCCTTGCTATTGAACTGTATGTAATCTCACCTATGAAAGGCCTTTCCGAGTGTCATCTACACCATGTTTATAGTTCCATGCATAGCGATCAGCAGGGCACTTTATGAGCGACACTTATGAGGCTATTTCAAGCCTTCCCTCTGTTCTGCAGCATTCAGAAAGGCCCAGCTGTTCCACATAGGAGAGGCTTGAATGAAGTGATTTTAAGCCTTACCTTCGTAATGGATCAGTATCTCTAGACCCGCTTCTGTGCTCTCCTTTGCCCCTCCTGATCCACCATGGAGGTGAGGCTTAAAATCACTTCATGTAAGTCTCTCCTCTGTGGCACAGCTAGGCATTTCTGAATGCTGCACAGCAGAAGAAGGGCTTGAAATAGCCCATAAGTGTCGCTCATAAAGTGTCCTGCTGATCCTATACATGGAACTATACACATGGTGTAGATGACACTCAGAAAGGGTTTTCATAGGTGAGATTATATACAGTTCTCCTCCATGACAGATTAGAAGGTGCACTGCTGGGAAAATAGAAGGGAGCCCAGAAGTGGCTCTTTAATTAACAAAGCAGCACTGGAGAATGAGGAGACTTGAAGCCTCACCTCTGTGGTGGATCAGGAGGGGTGCCACCGAGACAAAAGCAGAGAGCCCAGAAGTGTGGGGTGGGGGCGGGTGTGTGTGGATGGAGAACTTCTCCCGGGCAGGGGTTGGGGTGGTCTTTGCCTGAGTCTTTGCCCTGGGTGATGGAATGTCTATCTTCGCCTCTGAGTATATGGAACCAGAACCTAATTTGGTAAGGTATACATGCTGTACATATGGACCTTTCTTTAGTAAGGTATGCAGCAAATATATTTTCTTTACCCTGATACTGTGACAGTTGAACTGATGAGAGGTGACATTTGAGTGATTGCTATGGGTCAGTGAACATCAATGCACCTGTCATTTTTTGGGATGCATTATGGTTTAATCACACTGGCTTCTTATACAATGTCACCTGTGAACTCTATGCCAGGGCCTCCTTGTCTGTCCAGCTACAACAATTACGAGGAGAGTCTCATACTCACTGTTGCATTTTGGAGTGCTGCAAAAGGACAGAGAAATTGTGACAAGGGTTGGGAGTGCCTATGAGTCTGGCAGGGAGATCTAGGCAGACAGATAAGGACCAATGGGTAATTCAACCCACCAGTATCCACTCATAACTAAAGTATCAGCTTTCAGCTGTTGCTTTGTAAAAAGTGCTTTATGTGGCAATGTAAATAGGGATGAGAAAGCAGTTTCATTCATTTCCAAATGCAAGCAGAATTGAATTCTAATTCAAGTGTGTTTTCTGGGGGGAAAGAATACTTGTATATAACCCAGTCCAGATTTTGCGGGGCTTTTAATGTTTACTTCTTTCGACACAATTAGTTCATGATTTGAAGATTGTGACTGGGGGCAAAACCCTTTCTTCCCTCCCGCAGTTTGCAGACAGCTGTTAATTGCTAGGTGGTAACGATCTTCAGTCTTCGGTGCTCAGTTTTATACTGTCGTTACATGTCGAGACTGAAATAATGGATCTTTCCGTGCAGGGCCCTTGGTATCAGGTCAAAGCTATAATCACAGGTCAATGCATACCTAATTAATAATGAATACACCTAGTTACACCATACAGTTTGAAAGGTGTGAAATAAATTCTGTGAAAGGAATTGGGTTTGGCTTGTCAATTAAACTGTTGTATTATTAAAGCAAACATTTTTTTCTCGTGCTGATCACAATGAATAAAAAACTTTGAAAAGTGCATTTTTTAAGGAAGGTTTATTTAGTGATTCTATTACATCGCATTATCAATTTGCCTTGGCGGTTAGTATCTGTAAAGTCAGGTATACACAGTTCTATGTTCTTTGTTCAACCTGCTGGCTGAATGAAGAAAATAGAACAGGAATCTTCTGCTGTTTCGGTTGTACTCAGCCCATTGGCTGACAGCTCTGTTTGACCGACATGTTTCCGACATGGTTTTTAGATCACTATATATAGAATTTAGGGGTGAATATGGAGCAAAGGCGATACCACACCCAAGGGAGAAATGTAGGGATGCACCGATACTAAGTACCATACTCGGTACAAGTACAAGTACAGATACTTTTCCAGCTCCAAGACTGGACTAGAGAAAAATTCAAAAGTTGGGAGGCAACTGTCATTTGTAAGGAGCCCACGGAGCTCCTTGGATTTGTACATCTCTGTTTTAATGTATGATTTTGTTTTTCTTAAGATAAATAAAGTGATGCACCGATACCATTTTTGCAAGTACAAGTACTGATACTTGCCCAAGTACTCACAGATACAAGTACTGATACATTTTTGTTTAGTGTTATGTAACAGCTTTTCTAAAACAATACAGACTAATGATTTCAGGACAGTGGTGGAGTACCAGAGCTAGGTCCCAGCTGCAACCCTGGTAGTGCTCATGAAAATGCCAAGTATCGGCACTGGTATCTGAAAAGTATCGGTGCATCCCTAGAGAAATGTATAATAATGCGGCAAAGATAAGGGCTTTTAAAGTATCAAAAACCCCACTGGTATAGCACAAAAGTAGATTAAGATTACATTTTTATCTTATACAAAAACATAAACGAAAATGTAATTGTGCATAATAAAAAACACTTAAAACAGTCCCTTCATAATATGGCATATAATCAAGACCTCCCTTAGAAGGATACCAACAATATTGATGACTTAACCAAAGACCAGAGAAAAAGTCCCAAAAAAAGCCAATATTCCTCTTCGTGTTTCGCACCCAATGTAGGCCTATATTGGGTGTGAAACGCGTAGAGGAATATTGGCACCCCTTAATAACATGACATCCTGACAATACCACACTTGACTTTTTCTCTGGTCTTTGGTTAAGTCATCACTATTGTTGGTATCTTTATAAGGGATGTCTTGATTATATGCCATATTATATCTTAAAAGCCCGTATCTTTGCCATATTATTATATATGCTTCTTAGATCAACTGATGCAGGGATGTCAGTCAGAAAGGTGCTGACATCGGCACCCATGCATCGGATTTAGGTCGGTTCATCAAGAACATGTATACATGGTATACATTTATCAAAACTGGAGCAGACGAAATCTGGAGCAGCTGTGCATGGCAACCAATCAGCTTCTCTCTTTCATTTTCAAATCTTACCTGAACAAACCAAAGAGAGAAGCTGATTGTTGGCCATGCACAGCTGCTCCAGATTTCGACTCCTCCAGTTTTGATAAATTCCCCCCATTAACTTTCCAGTAGTTCCCAGACTGGTAGGTAGTTCAGTCCTCTGAGATACAGTATGTGAACTATAGGACCTTGTGTCCCATTCTATGCAGAATTGGTATTACTGTGATGGAATCAGGACCTGCTATATGTTGTCCAGAATTTGCCATATCAAATAATCGAAAGTAAGGATTTATTTTATATAAGCCAATACAAATTGTACATCAACACTACTTGTTCATTTGCTTGGTTGAATGTAAAATTTGATGACTGTCATGTATGATGGTGCTGAATAGTACATACAGCGTTGTTGGAGGATTGATTTCTGAGAGTGTAAGCTGCATGATAATATAAGAAAAGAAAGTGGAAATTGCATTTGATGATACTGTAGAATATATTAATCACAATTAGAACCACTTTTTTTGATTGGCTGTAATCAAAAAGAATCTTGATAAATACTTGCAATATAATATAAATGTGTCATTATATAGTATTTTATTTATATCACCTATAGGGCAATTGGCACTTTTAAGAAGCTCCTCTGGCGTCCTTTGGTGAGTCAGTGATCCATTCGTTCGTTATGAGGTTTGCAGTTTGTAAATACAGACGTGTTATGTAAATACTGAAGCTTATTGAAATGCTGGAATTTTAAATCATTTTCAAAATATATCCTTCTATGTAAGTAACCATGATTTTTTTGTATCCATATTCTTTTATATATTTAAGTGCAAGTTCACCTTTATACCTTAATAATGAAAAAAACAAAAAACTTGTTAATTTGCATAGCAATGGTGAAAAAAACATGTTCCTTCGTTATTTTAAACGGTTCAGTTGTCATACGGGTAGGACTTAAAGTAGATCTAAAGCAAAAAATTTTTTTTTTTCATAATGGATTTTGGTTAACCCCTTGTCAGAGTTTTCATTTTTGTGATCTGTGTCCCATTGATAAGTTTCCCTTCATTTCCTGTTATGTAGACATAACCGGAAGTGTGAAAAAATCTCTCCAAAGTAATGGAAATTCCTGTCACTGGAACAGCTGTACTTATTGGAAGATATCCTCGCTATTCCTGTTCTGGTGACAAACTAATACTTAGGTTCTTCCCTCACTCAGTCCCAGTGGCACTGATCATTTTAAAAATCTGATTACTGACCTGAGGTATAACTTAACGGTGGTCAGAGATGTTTATGTATCTGCATTTTAATATTTACATAAAATGTGACATTTTTTTTTTAAACAAACTTTATTCTGTTTTCTCGGCCCTACCCCAAGGGGCTCGGCCTTTTCTTTTACAGCATAAAATGTACACAGTATGAGGCTATTTACAGTAACCCCAACAATTGTACCGGAAATATCAAACTTAAACATTTCAACATTCCCATTATTCCCAAGCTGGTTGCCACTCTTGCGTTAGTTATTGTATGCTATTAGAACATGCCAGTTACTACTCTTTTTTTGTTTTTGTTTTGTTTCATACACTATGCTATTGTCTAGCCGTAAACTATCACTAAAGCCTCAGTTCGCGTCAGGGCACTTCCAGGGCCCCCAAGCTCCCTGTCAGTTTTGCCTTGAGATACCAGTTCGAGTACTTGAAGTACTTTAGTACACGTGCTCCACTACACCTTTGCACCCCTAGATAACATGTAAATTACACAAATAATCTCATGCTGCTGGAATACTAAGAAGACCTGAACTGTCTCCAGTGTCCTGACGTGGCTACTTTTTCCTTTTTGGAAACAGTCATCAGGTTTTTCTTGTGCGCACCTCTAGCCTAATATAAATATGCATGTGTGTAAGTACAGACTCAATTCACTGAGCTATAAAATGTCCATTATTTGCCATAATGATCATTATTTTCAGTCCTGCAAGCCAATGATTGCTGAAATTAACAATCTCATAGCCAAAGATCATTATGGCAAAACATGCATTGTAGCTCAGTGAATTAAGCCAATTGTCTTTCAGTAAATTTGCTGTGTAAGTTCACCTGGAAGATAAATTGCCACTGTCTGGTCCACAGTTAAGCTGGGTATACACTTTGGGCTGGGTAAAACAAACATTTGTGCGAACAATCTCATGAGAACATTCGATAATACCATCAGAGACTTAACGAATGTTGTTAAAAATTTCATTTGATTTTAACATTTTGGAAAGAATGGAGTTTCCAGATGAAAACCACTTTAATTTTTAAATATTGTTGGCTCAAGAAAAAATTTCCATCCTGCTCTTTTGATTACAGTTGAAAACAGTTGTTGATTTAACCCCATCAATAATTAGAAAATCAAACAAATGTTCTGCAAATTATTTTTTTTAAACTGAAATTCTACTGGTGTTTGACCAGCCATGTTTGCATACTACATAAGGGTTACTTACTGGTTTTACCTTTCCTTCAAAGCTTTTGAATCTTGCTAGACTTCAGATATGCAGAGATCAGTGTGCAGGTTAATTAGGGAAGAGGAGATTGCTAACATCAGATATCACTTTACCAGCAGACCTGAAAGTCTTAGTTCAGCACTCTCTTAGATGCTGAGCTGCAATAAGCAACATTCAGGGGACATGTTCCGATGCTTTTTAATTTTTATTTGACACATTTTAGTTACTTTTGACAATTGGGCTATGTGGGTGGTGTTGTTAGAATGTATTTTTCATGTGAAGGCCACTTTTAACTATGTAAAGCATATCAATTGTGCACATATGTGGTAGGCATACAGCAAGGCAATGCAAGTATGAAATCAAAAAAGTTAAGTTTATATGTTTTTTCTCTGTTGTGTTGTGTTTTTGTTTTGTTTTTTTCTAATTAAATAATCTTGTCTGTATTGTCTAAGTTGCTTTTTGGCCTTTAATTTTATTTGGTAACATGTAACCTCTAAAATGTGCTTGTCCTCTAACCTCTGTTGTAGAATCGTAGTTTCCTGCCAGATGAATGCTGATGTCATTTGTGTTGTCACTGAAATCTGGGTTCAGGCAGTGAAAGTATACAGTTATAAACACATGGATATACTGCTGATTTACAACATATTGTTGAGATGATGTCAAGAAGTAAATCTGTATTTAAAACATGTGTCACAAATTAATGGGATTCTATAAGGGATTGAGGTCAATTTTTTTTTTTAAGCGAAAGCATTCTGTATTTTTTACTATACTTTTTATAATAAATACACATACTGTATCAACTGGCACAACTTTGTTTCAAGGTACACAAAGAGATGGTCTGCCCCATAATTGGAAGAAAAGTAAAAGAAGCACTGAGAGTGCCATGAAACTTGGATGTATATACAGTATATATTTTATATTGCCAAAAGTATTGGGACGCCTGCCTTTACACACACACATGAACTTTAATGGGATCCCAGTCTTAGTCCGTAGGGTTCAATATTGAGTTGGCCCACCCTTTGCAGCTATAACAAGGTTTAGGAGTGTGTCTATGGGAATGTTTGACCATTTTTCCGGAAGCACATTTGTGAGGTCAGGTACTGATGTTGGAAGGATGTCCACAAGGTTTAGGAGTGTGTCTATGGGAATGTTTGACCATTTTTCCGGAAGCACATTTGTGAGGTCAGGTACTGATGTTGGATGAGAAGGCCTGGCTCGCAGTCTCCGCTCTAATTCATCCCAAAGGTGTTCTATCGGGTTGAGGTCAGGACTCTGTGCAGACCAGCCAAGTTCCTCCACCCCAAACTTGCTCATCCATGTCTTTATGGACCTTGCTTTGTGCACTGGTGCGCAGTCATGTTGGAACAGGAAGGGGCCATCCCCAAGCTTTTCCCACAAAGTTGGGAGTGTGAAATTGTCCAAAATGTCTTGGTATGCTGATGCCTTAAGAGTTTCCTTCACTGGAACTAAGGGGCCAAGCCCAACCCCTGATAAACAACCCCACACCATAATCCCCCCTCCACCAAACTTTACACTTGGCACAATGCAGTCAGGCAAGTACCGTTCTCCTGGCAACCGCCAAACCCAGACACGTCCATCGGATTGCCAGAAAGAGAAGCGTGATTGGTCACTCCAGAGAACACG